AGCTGCTCTTATGCTCCCGTGTGGCTTGGGGACATCAGAGGGGGCTCAGCCCCTGCCCCATCGTAGCTGCAGGTTCGGTGAGCTCAGGGACCCTGACTGTCAGCTGGCAGTGGTTTGTCAGGAGCATTCCCAGACCACCTGGAGGGCTGGAGGTGCCCTGGGTGCACTGCCCAGCTTTACTGCTGGCAGGTACTTACGGAACTGTCTCTCGTCCCGGCAGCATGGCACAGCCTCCGCGAAGTGCCCACTGGCAGGCAGAGGCCCTGTGTGCCCCCACCTGTGGAATGGGACCGCCCCAGCAACCAGGCCAGGGGCACAGTGCAGGCCCTATGCGCTCCAGGCCTGCGCTCCACCCGGCAGAGTGCCCGATGAGACCTCGGGGCCAGCCCGGCTGCCCTCCGACCAGCCCCTTGCACGTGCCATCCTGAGCCCTCAGTCCTGCCTGATCTGCAGGCCTGTGCCTGGTGGGCACCTCCCGGGCCCTCAGAGCTTGTTCACAGGTCTGGGTCGGCATCCCTCCCTGCCTTCTTCCCTTCACTTCTTCACTCTGGTCTTCCCCGCAGAGGTCAGGGTGAGGTGGGCAGGGAGAGAGTGGGGAGGGCACGGAGGCAGGGAGGGAGCAATCGAGCCCACCCTGGAGGGTCTGACCCGAGCCTGGCTGGGCAGGATCTCCATCTCCGTGCCTGAGAGCGCCCCTAACCAGATCGGGTCTGTGTCCGCAGTGCAAGAGAAACCAGAACCCATGCCGCTGGAGAGCCGCTCCTGTGTCCTCATCCGCCGCGACCTGGTGGCGCTGCCCGCCAGCCTCATCAGCCAGATCGGGTACCGCTGTCACCCCAAGCTCTACTCAGAAGGGGACCCTGGCGAGAAGCTAGAGCTGGTGGCAGGTGAAGTGCCCCTCCCCGCCCTGTCTATTGTGTGCAGATGTCCTCGTTTACTTTCTTCCCTTCAGAGCTCTGAACAATGTACTCATCACTAATCAGTCAAAAAAAAAAGAACATCTTAAATTTCTTCTAATTTCCTTTTAGGAGAATGTGTCATTAAGAGGAGTTATTCAATTGAATTAATTTAGCATTTTAATTGAATCCCCTGGGCTGGTCGCGCATCTGATTGGCAGGGGCTGCAGTCACGATTGTGTTTCAATTTAGGTGGCAGATAAAACCAAATCGAATACAGCGCACAGGCCCCCCTCCCCCAAGTCCCAGAGCGCCCCATCGCTGCGCTGACGGGTAGCGACCGAGGCTCCAGACGCAGGTCCGAGTCAGACACGGAACTCTGCAAAAGCGAACGACACAGTAGAGTCCGAAAGCCCATTAGGGCCGGGTGCCTTTGTCAGAAATACTTCTCTTTTCGACACGAGGATGCATCTGGCCTCGCAGGCCCCTCGTAGATTTCTAAGGCTCTTCACAGGGAAGACAGAAGATGCTGCCGTCACCCTCGGTGGGGAGGTGGACCCATTTTCCAGGAATCTCCTGGTTGGCCGGGGGAGCCCCTAACAGGCTGGCCAGGACCCATGGGCTCCTTCCCTCCCTCCAGTGCTGGCGTGGACCTTCTGTGAGCTTCTGCCCCCCCCCCCCCGCCCTGTTGGGCACCACTCCTGACCACCACGCCCTGGGCAGCATCATAGGGTTCTGCCTGAGCTGTCCCCTCTGCTGGGAGCCACTGTCCAAACAGGCAACCTTAGAACAGGGCAGAGAGGGGTGGCTTTGCCCTTCAGCTAACACGCTGTCCGGGTTTGGGGTTGGGGGCGGGGGCCAGGGCTGGCCACCATCCCTGGCCCAATGCAAGCTGGATATCAGGTTCCCAGGCCCCACTGTGTCCCAGCCTCCCCCCCCCTTTACAGGTTTCCCCACAATGAAGGGGTGTCCCCCGTGTGGCTCAGAGTGACCTGCTCTGCTATTGGGTTGGAGCCTCTGCAGACGGGAGCGGGGTGGCCCTCAGGGACACCTGGCATGCTGTGGCTGAGGACCGTCAGGCCACACTGACCCGACGCCCCCGGCGGTGGTCTCCATCCAGAATCACGTGTCTGTTTAAACAGTGGGCCCAGGCTCCCCTGGAGACCTAGCCCGTGGAGGGAAGCCAGCCCCAGGCCGCCCAGCTGGGGACCCACACGCAAGAACACCTCCTCGTGTCTTCCTTCCACCCTGCCCCCCGAGAAAGGAGCCCCCCCCCCGCCGCCCCGCCCTTGTCTTTTTCACAAGATTCAGCACGTGATCTGTGACAGCTGGGATCACAGAGGCCTGAAGGAGACTTCAGGAGGCCCCAGAGCCCGTTGGGGTTTACCGCACTGTTGTCTCAGGGGGTCGGGGGCACCGTCTGGTGCGGGCTCCTTTCTCCACGAGCAGCATCCGTTAAAGGGAGGCCACCCCACGCTCTGGGCATTGAGTCCTCTGCTGGCTTGGCCCACGCCCTGCTGGGCCCCTGGGCCTTGCCAGGTTTCTCTGGGGTAAACAGTACCGTGTGGGCTCACTGCCCCCACCCCTGCCCTGGGCTGGCGGCGCCCCTCCCCCCACAGGCACAGGGCCGGGTGACCTCCAGAACTCTAGGCCCCAGCGCTGCCCGAGGTGCTTCGGTTTTGGGGAAGGGATAGAGAGGCGAGGAGCGTTGCCCAAACCCTGGGCTGAGCAGAGAAACCCCCTGAGGCTGCCAGGGTGATCTGGGGACACGTGGCCAAGGCTGCCTCCTCCAGGTGACAGGGCACGCCCTGGGGTGCTGCACCCAGAAGTCAGGCGGCCTTGCGCCGCTCCCCACACCCCCCTGCGCACCTGCTCTGGCCCCAGGAGCCTCCCGGGGAGGTCCTGGCCTTGGGCTGTGTGGGTGGTGAGGCCGAGCGCCTCACTCTTCTGTGTCTGGTGCTCACAGGCTCTGGCGTCTACATCACACGAGGTCAGCTGATGAACTGCCACCTCTGCGCAGGGGTGAAGCACAAGGTCTTGCTGAGACGGCTCCTCGCCACCTTCTTTGACAGGTGGGTCCCTGGGCAGGTGCAGAAGCCTCGAGGGTCTCCTGTGGCTGACGCCTCTCGCGTGTGAGGCCCCCACCTTACTGACTTCCCACTTGGGTGTCGGCCCGGGGACTGTGGAGGTGAGGGAGGGGGGGCCTGGGTCTGGGGAGGGCTGTGGACCACTCCCCCTGTAAAACAAAGACCTACGTGCTTCACTTCACGGGTGGGTCAGAAGGTGGCGGGCCTGTTCCCCACCCCTGCACCCTTGGAAGTCAGGAGCGGCACAAGGCGGGGGCCAGGTAGACTTCTGGGTGGGAAAGCCCCATTCCCGTGGCACCTCTGACTACCCCCCCCCCCCCCCCACTGCCAGGAACACACTGGCCAACAGCTGTGGCACCGGCATCCGATCGTCCACTAGTGACCCAAGCCGCAAGCCTCTGGACAGCCGGGTCCTGAACGCTGTGAAGCGTAAGTGGACGGGGTCTCCCGGGTCGGGGGCGCAGGAGCGGCGGGGTCCCCCGGGGACCCCGGCCGGGGCGGGCGGCCTCTCCCCGGCACCAGGCTGGCCCTGCAGGGCTGGGGGGAAAGAGAAAAGAACAACTCTCAGGAGCCAGGTCTCGAGGTGCTAACGTTCTTGGTAGGTTTCCAAGCATGATGGATTCAGCTGCGTGCGAAACTATTTTAATATGTGAAATAGATCTAATTTTCCTTTTTGAACAAAACCCCTTATTTACATTTCGAGGTTATTTTGAGCCTTTGCCATCTGCTTGCTGGCTCCTGCCTCCCGCTCCTGGGCGCGTGGGGGCGGAGCCGGTCCATCTCCGCAGCCGACTGCTGCCCCCCGGCCCCAGCCCCGGCCCCCGGGAGGAGCCCACCCGCTCCGATCGGGCCAGACGTGGCCGAGAGCCGGGCCTCCTGCGGCCGTCGGCTCACGAGACACTGTCTTACTTCCTTGCTTGGAAAACATCTCTTGTGAGGCTAATTCTGTTGTAGAGCAAAGAGGGGCCTTTGTGGTGATAATGGGAGTCCCAAAGCGTGCAGTGCCAGCGGGGCTCCGGGAAGAGGCCGGGAGGTGTGCGGCCGATGCTGGTGTGAGGGGCTCGCCCTGGGGACCTGGCTCCAGCTCCCAGGTTGTTTGCAGAGCGGGGTCCTGTGGCTCCCAGTGGAGGACCAAGGAGAGGCTCGGCACTGTTTTCAATGATGACGGATGCAGCCACCGGGGCTCACTTCCTCCCGGCGCGGGCTGGGCCGAGGGAAGGTGCTGACCGGCTCCGCCTCGCTCCTTGTCCCGACCGTGAGGAAGCGCCTCTGATGAGCAGGTGCCGAGGGCTGCCTGCCCCCCCTGCCCCGACTCCCCTTCTGGGCAGGGCGGGGTTACCCATCAGGCTTGTCTGAGCAGGTCTGGGACCCAGGGTCGGTGGGGCAGCGATAAATGAGGCCCAGAGATGCCAGGGACCTGCCCAAGGCCACACAGCCGGTGGGTGCTCGGGGAGGTACCACGGCCTTGTGTCCCGATGCCAGTTGTCCCGAGGGAGCAGGGCAGGGTCTCCAGGACTGGAGTGGAGAGAAGGGTGACCCCCTGTCCTCAGGCTGAGGCCAGAAGAGGCCTGGGTGGCCATGAGGTGTCTGGAGGCCCCCAGCCATGCGCCCGCTGGCTCAGGAGTGCCACTCCAGCAAATAAGTGCCCTGACCCCGGGGCTGGTGGGGCCCCTCGGGAGGCGGGGGTCACCCTGACCCCGGGGCTGCTGGGGCCCCTCGGGAGGCGGGGGTCACCCTGACCCCGGGGCTGTGGGGCCCCTCGGGAGGCGGGGGTCACTCAGCCCGTGCCCCCGCACCCCTGTGCTCGCAGTGTACTGCCAGAACTTTGCCCCCAGCTTCAAGGAGAGTGAGATGAACGTGATCGCCGCGGACATGTGTACCAACGCCCGCCGCGTGCGCAAGCGCTGGCTGCCCAAGATCAAGTCCATGCTGCCCGAGGGCGTGGAGATGTACCGCACGGTCATGGGCTCCTCGGCCGCCGGCCCGCCCCTCGACCCCGACTTCCCGCCCGCCGCGGCGCAGGTGTTCGAGCAGCGCATCTACGCGGAGCGGCGGGCCGACGCCGCCACCATCGTGGCTCTGAGGACTGACGCCGTGAATGTCGACCTGAGCGCCGCCAACAACCCGGCGTTCGAGGCCGGCGAGGAGGCGGACGGGGCGGGCTCCGTCATCCAGGAGGTGGCCGCGCCCGAGCCGCCGCCCGCGGCCGCCCAGAGCCCCCCGCAGCCCTTCGAGCAGGGCGGCACCAGCTCCAGCCGGCCGCAGACGCCCGCGGCGGCCCGGAGACAGGAGGCGTCCTACGCAGGGACCTTGTAGAGGAGCCACCGGCCCGCGGGACGGTTTTCCAGCTGCTTGCATGCGTTACTAATACAACAAATGTGATCAAGCCACTTAACCTACGGAACTGCTACTGTTGCCTGAAAAAAATGTGATTTTTATCCTGCTTGTATTTAAAGTTGATGAAGGAAACACACGCATTCGATATACTGTAAGGACGAGTCCGCCGGTGACCTCGCGAGGAAGGTCCCAGGGCCCCTTTTGATACCTGCGAGGTTAGCCTCCAGGCTGTGGCCCCGCCCCCCCGCCCCACCCCCACCCCCACCCCCACCCCCACCCCTCGCAGGGGCAGTTACGGGGACGGGGACGGGGACGAGAGCCTGGGGGAGGGGAGGGGGGGGGTCCGCCTGCCCTGCCTCCCCGCCCTGCCCTGCGCCCCCTCTGCCCAGGGGGCCTGGGGTGTGGGGCACCCGCCCCCTGACACTCACTGCTCACCCCCCTGGGGCCAGGGGCCAGGGCTGGGCCCCCGGGGGCCAAACTCCTCTGGTTTTCCTTCTTCCTGAGACTCGGGGGTCAGGCCTTCCGGGTCCACTGTGTGCGTGGGGTGTGGGAGCGCGTGAGAGCGTGTGTGCGTGTGCGTGTGCGTTTGAGCGTGTGCGGGGGCAGCGGGATGGGCCGCCCACAGGAGGAGGCAGGGTTCCGGCATCTCTGTCCTCCCACCCTGTGCCCGTGGGCTCCCCTGGTCCCCCAGCTCCTTGGTCCTTGGTGCACCGGGGCCCCACAGGCTGGGCCAGCTGCCATGAGCGCCCGCGGGCTCCCGCCCGGCCACCTGCCATCCTGCGGGGCGTGGCTACGGCCCTGGTGCCGCCCCACAGCCCTCAGCCACGTTGGGATTACGTTTGTCTGTTTATTTGTTTTTGTCTTAATTCAGATCTATTTCATGTATGGTTTGAAAATTTTCAGACCCAAAAGAGCAAAAAATTAGGGAGGATTTGGTGTCCCTGCCTCCAACCCACTGTGGCGGGGGGCTGGGTCATCTGTATCCGGGTCCCGCCCGGCCCTGGGTCCCACCTCCCTCCTGTGCAGAGCAGGGCCGTCGCAGGGGGAGACGCAGCAGCCGGGGCAAGTGACACAGGAGGGTGCCGCGAGCCCTGCTCCGGAGGAGGCAGAGGCCAGGCCGGGCTGGAGTGGGTCCCCGTTTTGTGCTGCAAACCCTGGGGTGTGCGCCTCTGCGGCTGTGGGTGTGCGGGGGTGGGGGGAGCAGTAGGGGTGCAGTCTGGAATGCACGGCAGGGTGCACGGAGGAAGGGCCCCTAGAAGTTGCTGGAAGGCTCACTTTGAAGTTGAGTTGCTGTGTTTTGGTGAGGGAGGGCACGGGCTGCATGGAGCACTCAGGTGGCCACTTTGTCCAGGGGCTTCCTTCCTTCCTTCCGAGCCCCAGGCAGCCGGTAGGCCAGACCCGAGACACCCCTGGGTTTCCGGACCTGAAGGGGTCTGTTGGACCCCTCCCCTTCCCTCGCACTCTCCCCACCCCCCGACTGGGTGCAGATTAGGCCCACCTGCCTGCGTGTGCCTGTAGGTGTCCCTGCCCGGGACCCACAGAGCTGAGCCTCCCCCAGCTGCGGGCGGCCTGCAGGGGCTTAGGCCCCTTTCCACTGAGGGTCCTACTGACTGCTGCCCTGTGTGGAGAGGCCCTGGGGGAGGCTTGGGGAGGGGGCTCCCTGCACGGAGCCTCCAGCCTCCTCCAGCCGGCCCGAACATGTGCCCACCCTCCAGAAAGATCTGATGGCTCCCGGAAGAGGGGTGCGGGGACCTTGGGCAGGCACGGGGGAGCTGATCGCAGCCCCTGTGCCCCAGACCAGGGTGGTCCGGGCCTGGAGGTTGGGGCCCCGAACCCACCGCCTGGCCCCGAGATACGCCTCTGTCTCTGCCTCCTTCTCCCCCCGACTTGGGCCCAGGTGGGGTTGGCTCTGTGTGAGCCCCTCAGGACCTGGCCCTCCTGGGACTGCGAGAAGGCCTCCCCCCAGCATCCTCAGGCGGCCCCTGGGGGGTGGGGGTGGGGATGGGTAAGGCTGACCCCCATCCCCCCATCCCCCCTGCAGCTCCCCTTCCTCACCCCAATGTGCACTTTAATTTGACCATCCCTGAGGACCCTGGGGAGATGGCCAGCCCGCCCCGGCCGTCAGCCAAAGGGCTCGCTCGCTCTCCCTCTCTCCCCTCCGGTCCAGAGTGGGAGCGGCCCCCCCGACCCGAGGCCAGGTCACGCAGGGCTGCACTGGCCCGGTGGGGGCAGTGGCGCCTGCACAGAGAAGGCCTGACCGCCACTCAGGCCAGCACAATGTCCCGCGACCTCTGTCCCCTAATTGTTTATAACCGCCGTCTGTTTTGTTCTGGGTAAGGAAGGCAAAGCTATGGGTGAAACTTTAATACTTCAATGTGAATGGGTTCTGAGCTCCCCCTGTGCCCCGGGCGGGCCAGGCCGAGCGTTTTGCACTAAAGTGTCCCGCGGTGGACGTGGGTCCGGAGCGTTTGCAGACGGGCATGGCTGATGATTGTATCTGCCGGGGCGCTCCCTCCGCGTCCTGAATGTTCCGCGGGGCGGGCGGCGGCGGGCCTGGGCTCGGAGGGGCCTTCCAGAGTGCCTTAGCATCTTCCAATCATTTTTCCCAAGGAAAACCAATTAAGAAAACCGGACCCTCCCCCTCCTCTGTTTACAAGACGGCTAATTCCTGTCCCGTGAGCGTGACCCTGACTCACCCAGACCCTGTAGACCGAGAGACAAGCCACTCAGTATTTATGACATTTCTGCACCTTTACTCCCAAGCTTGACTATTAGCAATATGCATACACTATGTAGAGTCTATTATAGAGCTAAGTTAGACCCGCGCCTTTTTGAGGAGGACAGAAGGGACTGGACCCCGTCAGAGCGGACGTGGCGGGCAGCCGGCTGGGCGCCCATCCTCCCCCGGCGGACGGGCTGTGCCACAGGACGCAGCTGGGACGGAGTGCGAAAGGTCCAGGAGAAGGGACGGGTAGATGTGACAGATACTGTGAGCTGGCGGGGCCGCCCCCCGGCCTGGCCGGGGCGCCTCAGTACTTGAATTCTGTCTTGTTTTCTGCACTGTGTCTGGTCTCACCCAGAGTTCTCTGTGGTTGCTTAACTTTGCGTTTGGTTCGATTGTCTTACCTTGCCCCTGAATGTGGCTGTGGCCGGGGATTAGAGGCCAGGGGAGATAGCTTCCCAGGTGCGGCCTGCAGCCCCTCTCCGTGCCCGCTGCCGTGGTGCTGGCTGGCCGTGGGCCTGGGGTTCACGTCTCCTCCGCGCACGCGAGGGAGCTTGCGTTTGTGTGGGCGTTTGTGTTTGGAGCTGGAAGGAAGGCAGAGGGGGAGGGGCGCGGCGGGGGGGGGGGGGGGGGGGCCGGGGCATCTACGGGGACTCTTGGTGTGCCCGGCCCTGACCTATTCCCTCCGAACGGCAGAACTTTCTAGCACCAGCCCAGTGCCACCCCCAGCCATTTACCGCCTAGACTCCCCTCAGATGGGTTATTTTTATGGAGGTGTCTTGATGCCCGCGGAAAGAGGCCGATGGCCCATTAACCGACCGAAAACTGCGAGAAAACCTCTGTTTGCCTCTGCCAGCAGTAAATCCTAAACACAGAATTGAGAGTTCATAGCTGTCTTGAGCTTTAACTACTGCGATGCATAGATGTGTCATCATGTCAGCCAGCCAGCTCCGAATACCCGCCACCCGCCACCGGGAGGTCGTTAGGGCTTGGTACAAGATGTTTCTAACATGGCAAAGGTTCTGGGTTCCGTTTGTTTGTTTGTTTTGTTTCTTCGAGAAAAAAAAAAAATGAAAAGGAAAATTATGCAGAATCTGGAGCGTTCAGATTGGACAACCTGCTTGAATTCAGATCAACCCCTTCATTGTTAGCGTTTTGCACATGATTGTAATTTTTATGTCAAAAGAAGCCAAAACTTGCAATACTATTTTTAGCAGACAAAAAAAAAAAAAAAAAGAACTTAAGTATAAAATGTATAAATATTTTTGACTTGAACATGTGGATGGCACTGGGTGCAAACAGACCATTCATGCTTTGGACGGAATGTTGGGGAAAAAGAGCCTTTTGATAAAGGAGACTGTCGCCGCCACACGGTCTGGTGGGGGTTGGTAGGTAGTGCTGTAACTCACGACTGTTAATAAACGAATGAGATCACTGTCCCTGTGCCGTGGAGGAGGTCTGTTTCCTGAGCCCCGAGCTCCGTTCCAGCCCCGCAGGTGTGTCCTCTGTCCTTTCTGCTGCTACTCAGCAGAGTCAAGACTGTTGCTTTTTCGCCGCGGCTGACGCTGCACCGGTAACTCGAGCCTACAGACACGTCCGCCGGCGACCGGGAAACCCAGGGCTTCTGTCGCGCTCAGAGCCGATTCAAGTGAGGTGGAAATCCGTTACAAACAAACAGAAGGATGTGATCGTTAATTGTATAGCGCTTTGTAAAATTCACATTTACGGAATAATAAAGTCAGTTCAAACCCAGCTGCCCGCACCTTGCTTGGTCAGTGCGACTGGGGAGACGCTGAGGAGCCAGGGACAAGGCCGGCTGCTGGGCAGGTGACCCAGTGACTCGGGGCGCCCTCGGGACCCAGGATCCCCAGGTGGGGGAAGGGCCATCCCCAGGCTCCGTGCCCACGGGCCCCCCGCCCCGGGGGGGGTTACGTGCTTGTGGGAGGGCTCCGGGCTGAGCTGGGAGGGGCTCCTTTCCTTTTTGTGGTCTGCCAGCTGGGAAAGCCACCTCACCTGGCTCACCTGCCTGCCACCCGCCAGGTGACTGCTACGGCCGGCTGTGCCCCGGCCACCTCCTCCTGGGCCGGGCCTGCCCCCAGGTGGACAGAGGGGGGATTGCAAATGGACAGCAGGTCCCCTGGCCGGTCTGGGAGCCCCCCGGTGTCCGGAGGGACACTCCCATCTCCCAGCCGTCTCTGGAACTGTCCCCCTCAGGCCAGCTCTGGACTGGGGTTCTCAGATTCACGCCTGGCAGCTCTCTGCCCCCTTTGTTTCTCTGCTGAGAGCTCGCCCTGAAACCAGGGCGCTGGGCAAGGGAGGCCGTGCCTCAGGGTGTCCCTGAGACCTGGACTGGGCCCTCGCACGTGCTTCCTGCACCCGGGCACCTGCGCGGCAGTCCCCCGTCTTCTCATCGGCATCCCCGGTTCTTGCCCGGGCTGAGCCACGGGTGTATTTGCTGTCTTGTTTATCGAGCTTCCCCGGAGGGGGGGGGGGCCTGTAGGTCTGCTTCACGGTGGTGTCCCCAGAACGGGGTCCCCTGGAGCCACGGCCAGCACGGAACAGGCACAGAGTCTAAAATGGGCATACATGGTTTTCAAATGGGTGCTCTACCCTGGGGACCCCTGCATCAGCAGGTACGCTGGCTTGGGTCAGCACATCACGCCGTCTCCCCTGGAATGCCCAAGGAGCCTGGCCCAGGCAGGGCTGGGGACCTGGGTGTGCCTGTGCCCACCCCACTGCCAAGCCCAGCTCCGGCCACCAGGACAGTGTGTCACTTCAGATCTTGTTTTCAGAGCTGTTCCCTGCCACCCCCAGTCCAGCTGACCAGCGTCCTCTCTGGCCCCTTCCCGCCGCGGCCTCACAGCTGCTGGACGTGGTGGAGATACCCCTCCTCTGGGCCGTGGGACACACACCTGGGAGGCCCCAAAGCCTCCTCACAGGCCTCCAGATGCCCCATCCGGGTGGTCTGGGGCCGACTGAGGCCCGTGTGCGGTGGGAGTGCGAGGAGGGTCCCGGCTTGGAACCCAGTTCGGAGGGGGAGACCCTGTGGCACGGGGACCCGCCTGGCCCAGCGTGTCCCAGTGTTTCAGGAGGAGGGGGAGCCTGGCACCTGCCGGCCTGTGCTCTGTCCCCTCCGGCCCCTGTCCTTCAGCGGCCTCCCTGCCTTTGCAGCCTCCACAGAAACTGGCTGAGGCATCAGAACCTCAGCCCCTCCTCTCAACCCTTTGTCCTGATCTGGGAGGGGGTGCAGTGTCAGCAGGCCCGAGGCTCTGCCCTGGAGCCCTTTGTCCTCCGCACAAAGGGTCCGAGCCCCGGGGGGACCGGGTGGTCCCGAGCCTGTGGAGGAAGGGCCCCGGGGTCCCCGCTGTACGCTGTGCGCAGGCCAGGGTGAGAGCCCTGCTGGGGGGGGTGGGGGGAGTGGGGGGGCTGAGCAGGGAGGAGGGACGGCCCCGGGCGGGAGCCACACTGGTCACCTTTGTGCCAGCTCCCACTCGTTGATAAGCCTGGGTGGCGTATTCGTCACAACCCACTCTGGATGGGCACCACCCCTCCCCGGAGGGGGCACGGAGGCCCTGTGCCGTCACCCCGCGCCACGCTGGCAGTGACCCAGCCCATCTGCTGCTGCTGAGGAGGCCTGGCTGGGGCGGCTCGGTCACAGCTCTGCGTTACGTCCGCTCGGTCAGGTGGCCCCAGAAGGGCCAGGTGGGAGGGTCCACTCAGCAGTGGACACAGACGCTTGTCCAAGGACCACGGAGGGATCTTCGTCGGGAAGGAAGGAGAACGGTGGGCAGGCGGGCTGCGGTTAGGGCCCTGGGCTGGGAGGGAGGGAACGGACGGGGAGGAGGGACAGGGTGTTCAGATGCACCCAGCTCTCCGGAAAGTCGGCCACCGAGGCACCCACGTGTCTGGGCACTCGGGGGACGGGCAGGGGGTGAATTGGGTGATGATGTCAACAGAGCTCCTGCTGTGAGAGTAGGGGTCACGGAGGCCGGGCTGCCTGGGCGGCCGAGGGCGGGGCGCTGCCTCTTGGGCCCCCCTGGGGTGACCAGTGCAGAGAGCTGGGCGGGGCCCCGGGAGCCTGCTAAGGAGGGGGTGGGGACACATCAGGTGGCCTCAGTAGGGAATGCCGCAGAAGAGCAGGGGCTGGACGGGATCTCTGGCCCAGATCTGCCCTTCCCTTGTGGCCCACCTCCGGGGTCCCCGTCGTCTGAGGGAGGCTGTTCTGGGTGGGCCCAGGGTGTGGCAGGTTTGTGACTGGGAGCCTACGGAGAGAGGGGGCGGGGCGGGGCGGGCGCAGGGACCAACGGGGCAGTGTGGCCCAGGCAGTGGCGGCCGTGGGGGTCTCGTCTGGGCCCCCCTCCCACACACACCAGGGAGGCAGGTCTCGCTGGGCAGAAGCTGGTCCCAGCCCCCTGGGACCCGTAACTGCCTAACTGCTCCGGACAGACAGGGAGCTGGGAGGTGGATGCCCTTGCCGCAGGGGGAGGGGCGCGGAGGCCCTGATTTCCAGGAAAGGCAGCCTGTTTCTCTCGGGCTGGCCATCAGGGGCCGGGGAGAGCAAGGCCTTGCCCAGCGCCAGCCAGGCTGGCACAGAGCCCACGTGCACGGCCCGGGGCTGCCCGGCTCCTGCCTCAGGTCCCTTTTCGCGTGAGGGACGGGCTGGTGCGGGGGTGTGGCTGTTTCCTGGCAAGGAGCCAGCCACGCTTCTCCCTCTGGCCTCCCCACGGTGGAGCAGGTTCTGGAAAAGGGCTTCCCCAGCAGCGCTGGCACCTTGTTCGGGAGGCGGCTCTGCCTGGTCACGGAGGTTCCAGGGCGCCCCACGCTGGCACCCCAGACAAGCCACCCCTCAGGCCATACAGCTCTGTGGCCTTTGCCCTGCCCAGACCCTGGCCGGCCCTGGTCCTGGAGGGGGCAGAGGACAGAAGTTCACCCTCCAGGAAGAAGTCCTGGCCCCCAGCTGGGGGGCTGCACCGGGGCGGGAGGGGAGGAAGGTCACCCCTGGCGGCCGCCGGCCGGGTGTTCACATCCAGCCCCCGCAGGAACAGTCGGTGAGGCCGGGGGTGGGGAACTTGACCTCCACAGACCCCGATGGTCTGGGTCTCCATCCTGAGCTGTTTTTGGAGCACCCCCACCCCCCCTCTAGGCCCTGGAGGCCTGAAACAGCTTGGGGCTGGGAGGGCATTTCCTGCCCTGAGGGGATTAGCGCCTCGTGGACCCCGAAACGCCTCCCTGCGACCGGGCCCTGCTTGCTCAGCTGTGCGATCCTTCATCCATCAGCCGCCCCCCACCCCCTCCGGGCCCCTGGTCCTCCACCCCCCCAGGGACCCTGGCCTGCACGAGAGCCGATGATTTGAGACCTGGCTCGGAGCCCCGAACTGTGATATGGACGCACGTGTTCCCGCCTCCGGACCTCGGCTTCGGCCTCTGGGCTGCAGGGTCTCTGGGGCCCTCGCTCCAGGAGACCCCGAGTCCTCCCCACCTGCCTGAAAGCCAGAGCCGCTGGGCTCAGGTCTCTGGTGGGGAACTGCTTTGGCTACTTTTGTCACTACGAATGACACCCCCAAAAATCACAGCACACGCAGATGGCCAGGATCCCTGTGGGGACCTGAGGGGGCTGGGCTGGGGGAGGAACGCACCTGCTACCCCTGCGGGAGACCACACCGTACCTCGGGCCTCCCGGGGGTGGGGGTGGGGTTGAGCTTGACCCTGCTGACCTCTGCAGGTCTGGTGCTCACGCAGGACTTCACTGAAGCCCCAGCACAACCCTGTGAGGCGATCTCATTGTAGCCCCGTTTTTCAGACAGGGAAACTGAGGCTCAGAGGTGTTGAAGGGGTCTCCTCACCCCCACCACGAGGGGGGCCCTCAGCCCTTCCTCTGAGGAGGGAAGGAATGGGGCACCTGGCCTGGCCTGCCGGGTGACCCGGGGCTCTTTGAGGAAGGCGAGGGTGGAGGGGCCCAGAGCGGAAGTCACCTGCCTGGGTGGCCCCTGGGGTTGGGAGAGCAGGGGAGGGGCGGGCAGCCTGGCTCAGCGTCACCCCGAGGGGCTCCAACCTCCGAGGGGTGACAAGGAGCCTCGGAGACTCTTTCAGACAAAGAGGCTCCAGTCAGACCGGTGGGCACTTTCCCCAATCAGGGTCCCCAGAGAAAAGGCAGGTGTGGTCCTAAGGTGCCAGCCTCGTGCCATAAGGTGGGAGCAACCCAAGTGTCGGTCGGAGGTGAGCGGGTCGAGCGGACCCCTCGGGGTCTGCGTGGACACAGAGGCAACCTCACGCTTTCCGGCCTGACCGCAGCCCCACCACCCAAAGAAACGGAGGGGAACTCACGGCCCTGCACACGGCTGGCCAAGTCGGCCGGCCTCGAACGCCATTTCAGAAGCCAGATGGAGATTCCTGCTAAGGGTGTGCTGGATACCGGCCGGGCCCGGGCCAGCTCTGTCTCAGCTGTGACCCACACGGGTGCCCACTCCCATTCTGGCTGCGGCTCCTGGCTTCAGAGTTCTTGAAGCTTCAGCCGAGGGCCAGCAGGGAGTAATTGTGGTCTGGGGTGACGCTTTGAGGGGGACACTGTGACCGGCCACAGGAACTCTGAGAGCTCCCTCTTGGGGGGGCCTCTGCATTCAGCCCCAGGGCCCCCATCACTTCCAGGAGCCCCCGCCCACAAGGCTCCCCGGTCTCTCGTGGGGAGGCCATCACCCGTGACCACACTCCCCACGCTCTGTAGCCTGCAGAGCCAGCACAGGGGCGTGGCCGCGGCACACAGCCCCGCCCCCACGGAAGCCCACAGAGCCCCTGCCCACCTTCTCCCACGCCAGGTCCTGAGAGCTGATGGGCTGTAGAGAGGGGCGGGTGCTCCCAGCTTTTTGCTTCCTGTGGTCACCCACACCACACAGATGGGGAACTGAGGTCATATGGTGGGGGGTGGAGCTTGGGGCAGGGAGGGGTGGCCTCTGGCCCAGGACAGACTCTGACACTTGGGAAGCGGCTCCGGGCTTGGACTGGCTGCTTCTCTCCCGTGGCCAATACAGTGGGTTGAGAAGACAGACCCAGCTCTTTGTCTGGGGACATTGGGCAAGGCAGTGGGGCGGGGAGGTGGGGATGGAGGGCAGAGGAGGGGGGGGGGCCTGGACTCCCCTCCTGGGGGCCCTGCAGGGGCTGAAAAGGGTCCCTCTGGGCTCAGAGACTGGCCGCAGGGGCTCTCGAGGTCTGTGTCTCCACACAGGCCCTGGGCGGCCGCTGGGCCTCAGGACCCGACGCGCCCCTTCGAGAGCCCCCACAGGCCAGGGCTCCACACAGACCGGGGACGGCCTGGGCTGGAGGGCCGGTGCCCTGGGCTCCTGGGCTCCTGGACCTGTGACCTGGGGCCTCCAGGGACTCTCGGCCACCCCAGTCCCAGGGGACGTGCGGGCCCGGGGAACGTCTCCAGGACGGAGCGGCAGAGCCCCTCCCGGAGGGGAAGCTGGACTTCGCTCGGAAGGGAACCATCAGGCCACCCCGGCAGATCAGGGGAGACCGGCAAGGCTGGGGGGGATATTAGGACCTGAAGCCAAAATGCTCGGGTGAGCCCAGCCTCGATCGGATGGGCTTTGCCGGAGACCCAGCCCTGGTGGGAATACAGAAGTGATTAGGCCTAAAAGCTCGGGCCATTTGGCTTTTATTCGATTGGCAGAGAGGCCCTCTGTGCCCTCTGCTTTTTGCCGTTTGATTATATGTCTGTGCTCAAAATACGGTTCCTGGAACGTAGGCAGCAGGCAGGACTCATTGGAATGGAAATCAATTTGATTAGCGAGCAGTCGATTACCGTGAGGACTGAGGCTGTGATCCAGGCGGAAGCCGGCTCCACAAACATGGAACTTTCTGAACGCGCCTGTGTGGAGGGGCTCACTCCGGAGGGGCCGAGGCTGAGGTAGGCCAGGCCCGCCCGGGTGCTCGCGGGGCGGGAGGTATAGCGGAGCTCTCCCTCCTCGGCCTCGGCATGTGCTTGACTCCCCTGGGCCTCGGCTTTCCCCTCCATGAAATGGGATCAGGCCGCTGCTGCCGGGAGGAGTTTGGGGCCTCAGAGGGGCCGTGCATGACGGAGAGTGAACGTTCTCCGGAGGGGCCGTGCATGATGGAGAGGGAGTGCTGGCCGGGTGGGTTCTGTTCAGGCAGGAATCCGGTTCCCCAGCCGTACATACTCGGACCCCTGGAGGGTGCCAGTGGGTGATTCTGTACCGAGAATCCAGGGAAAGCTGGTCCGGCAGCCAGAGCCAATTTCCTGAGAGACAGGGGAGGCCCAGAGCAGCCTGGGCCTGGCCACTCCGAACCTCAGTCTCGTCCTCTGTAAGTGGAACCTCTGTTCTGACCGTGTTCATCAGGCCTGCAGCACACTGCAGGAACACGGTCACTGCGGCCCCCCCTCTGGTCCTCCTCTGCTGAAAGCAGGAGTGTGAAGGGTCTGACCCTCAGCCTTCACACCTGCACGGAGTCGGGTGCCTCTCTGCACGGCTTTCTCCTGGGGATCCCTCCAGCAGAGGCTGGGCCCGGCGCCACTGTGGCAGGGCCCAGGCACGTGCAGGCCCAGATCGGAGAGGCAGGCCTGTCTCTGGCCTTCTCCCCGTTCCTGCATCAGAGGCACACTGTGTCCCTGCTTCCCACACACAGCAGAGGGCAGCCCCAGGGCTCCCTGGGTAGGCCTGGCACAGTGTGGGCCCCTGGCAGGACACGGCCAGACCTTCACCGGACGCCCAGCACCTCTGCGCTGGTCACGACAAGGCACCCTGGGCGAAGGCAGCTCCCGGGCACATGATGGGGGTGGACAGAATGGGACCCGGGCAGCGCCTTTCATCCCCTCAGCCGGGCATCCTTGTGCAGTGAGCAGCCTGCACCCATGTGCACGGCGGCCCTGCTCTCAGGAGCCACATGGGCTGTGACAGGGTCCCGGCCCCGTCCTCTGGCTGGGGGACTCTGGAATCACTTAACCTGTGTGAGATTTTGTGAATTAGAGAAAACAGTTTCTACCTCACCCAGGTGGCATGGAAATCGGAAATCGGAAATCCCCTATTTGCTAGGTATAGAGCACCGACTGGATGCGCCAGACGAAGTGGCTGGTGCGCAGCAGGGGCTCAGTAACTGTGGCTGCCACGGCCGGACCCACGTGCCAGGGCCACCCTGGCCGCTCTTCCTCACGCGCCACAGGAAGCAGTGATGGTCTCCATCCGACGGGCGGATCCGCCGCCACCGAGGACGCTTGCTCACACGTCTGTGCCCCCGGCGGGGCCGCGGTTCTCAAGACGCAGAACGCGGACCTTCCACGGGACCCAGCCGTGCCACCCCCCCGGCACGCACCCCAAACAACTGAAGACCGATGTTAGGACCAAAACCCGTCCTCGCACGCGCTACTCACCGCGGCCAGAGGGAGGGACCATCAGACGAGTGAACGGGGGTCCCCCGGACGGTGGGATGTTCCTCCACCAGGATAAAGGGAGGAAATGCCGATTCCCGCGGCGACGCGGAAGAACCTTGAAAACGCGGCCCTGCGTGAGGGAGGCCAGGCACACAAGGACACGCAGCGTGGGATGCCACGTGAAACGTCCAGGACAGGCAGCTCCACAGACAGAAAGCAGGTCGTTGGCGCCAGGGGCCGGCTGCTGACTATGGGCACACGGTGTCCTTTTGGGGGGAACGTTCTGAAACTGGAGGGTGGTGAAGGCTGCAGCATCAGAAATGTGCTTAATGCCATCGAACTGTGTAGTTGATAACGCTTAACTGTAAATCTTGTCTCTGCCGTATTTGGCCACGATTTTTAAAATGTATTATTTTTTTAATTTTCGAAACGTATTTTTGAGACAGAGAGAGAGCGAGCAAGGGAGACACAGCATCCGAAGCAGGCTCCGGGCCCCGAGCCGTCAGCACAGAGCCCGACGTGGGGCTCGAACTCACGAACCGCGAGATCCTGACCTGAGCCAAAGTCGGATGCCCAACCGACTGAGCCACCCGGGCGCCCCGCCACAATGTTTTTAAAGTTTGTTTATCTCGAGAGAGAGAAAGAGCGAGCGGAGGGGGAGCAGAGAGAGGGAGAGAGAGACTCCCACGTGGGCCCTGTGCTGTCAACGCAGAGCTCGACACGAGGCTCGAACCGTCGAACTGTGAGATCGTGACCTGAGCTGAAATCAAGAGACGGACGCTTAAGCGATGGGGCCACCCCGGTGCACCCCTATTTTGCCACAATTTCAAAAATAACTCCTCACGGCCAGTGGGTGGTGGGGCTGAGTCGGGCCGGGCGTTACCCTCCACCCGACACCGTCCCAAATAGGGTCTTGGTGCCGGAGGTCCCGCCAACCCGCCGGGGGCTCGGAGCGCTGAGCAGACAGGTGCAGGAGGGAGGTGTTCCGGCAGAGGTGGGGGGGGGTGGTTCTGCACCGGGTGAGCCCTTGTCTGCGATATGAGGTCTGGGGTAGAAAATCCGCACCTGCCAGAGGTGACTGACTTTGCTCAAGCGGACAGCATGGAGGCAAAAGCCCGGCCCACGCGGGGGCAGGTGACAGGGGCGAGGGGACGCCGTTAGCCACACGGTGGAGCAGGAGGGAGACCCGGTGCAGCACAGAGCCAGCCCCGGGCGCTCTAGCCCCAGACCGAGCTACGCGACCCCTTCCAGACCAGGGGTGACCTGGGTCAGGAGGGGCTTCCAAGGGCAGCTGCTTCCAGAAACCTGGGGAAGGGAGGGCTGGGGACAAGGCTGAAGAGGAGCAGGGCAAGGCAGCCATCCAGCAGGCCAAGGGTAAGGGACCAAAGAGCCAGGACACTCCCTGTCCCGATGCCCCCCAGGCGTCACCAGAAGCTTCTCCATCCCCACCAAGGTCTGCCAACCCCTCCAGGCTCCCATCCCCCAGGCCTGTCAACTATCTTGTCCCCTTTACAGAGAGGCCCTGTGAGTGGCCTCCGGCCACCCAGCACGTGGAGGAGAAGCCAGCCGATTCTCTCAGTCGAGTGTCCAGGATCGGGGGTCATGAGGGTCACCCGTTGGGGCAGTGGCCCCACAGGCACCCACTATGCATTTGCGGAGACCCTGGCCCGTGTCCAGGGAGGGTCTGTGGGCATTCTGGGCAGCCGTCAGGGGCCAGGAGAGGCTTCCTGCTGGAGGTGCCCCGGGGTGAGCGCTGAGGGACATCAGGGCAGAGCCCTGCCGGGGAGAGAGGGGAGCTCCTGTGGCCTCGAATGCCAGGCCCAGGACTCCCCTGTCTGCAGGCAGACTCCCGGGCTGGCTCTGGGGCCGCGCTCCCAGGAGAGAACCTGGGCCAGGAGAGAAGGTCCGGCCCTGGAGAGAAGCCGGGCCAGCCTGGCGGGAGGAGGTCCGGCCCAGGAGCCTCAGCTGCACGAGTGAGGCCGGCACCTGTCTCCGTGCTGCTTGGAGTCACGTGCTCCCTGCATTTGTATTTACTGGAGCAGATGGTGGGTGCAGTAACACTTTAAATTAAGGATTCCAGAAGCACATTAAATTTAGATTTAATAAGACAGTTATTGTATGGAAATTAAAGACCCATCGATGATTATTCTTTGATTATTGAGGGTGCAATCATTTACCGCGTTCATCGTGCGGATTGCGCCTGAGTGCACGCGGGGAACGAGGCTGGCTTCTGCAGCCCGGCCGGCCCTGGACACCCACCCTGCCCGGACCCTTGGTCCGCAGAGCCCTGTCCCTCCAGGGGCCAGCAGTGCTCAGTGGCCAAGCCCAACCGGCCAGGTGCCGTCCTCAGGCTGGCCTGGAGGGTGTCCCGGAATCCTCCAGAAGCTGCTCTTTGTTTTGCAGGAAAGGAAACTGAGGCTGTGAGAGAGATTGGATGTGGCCGGGCGCGGGCGGCTGGGGAGGAGGGTGGAGAGCCCAGGGAGCCGCAGGGGCAGGGAGGGGAGCCCCTGAGCATCGCTGAGCGGAGGCGGTGGCGTGGGGGGCACTTCCCGGCCTTGGCCTGTCCCTCCCAGCACTGGCCTCCCCAGGCTCTCCCCTCCTCCCACCCGGTGGGGGATTCCGGGAGCAGGGCCCCCCCCCCCCACCGCCCCGCTGCTCAGTCCCCAGGGGGCCCCCACTTCCCCTCGAGCCAGGGGCTGGAAGCTGCTGAGTGCATGATGATCTCTTGTGGCTGCAATAAATCTGGTCACTTTGTCCTCCCCAAGACAGGAGGCAAGGTTCCTCGTCTCCAGACTGGAGGAAACCGGCTTCGGAACCTCGAGCAGATTAACACCTCCTCCTGCCGTTCCTGTAACTGTCAGCCACACGATTGGTAATCAATCGCTTTGGCCCTAAAAAATGGGCGTTTATCACTTGCTTCAGGGGGAGCTGGTGGCCTGTGCAGGTGGCCTGGCCGGGTGGGGTCTCAGCACAGCCTTCGGTCGGTCCCGCGGATGCCCGGTGAGGCTGGGCCCGGGGGGGGCCGGGGACACTGGGTCTGCCTCGGGCCCTGCGGCGCCCAGGCCTCCGGGGGCGAAGGTCAGCCACGCACTTTCTCCGTGAAGGGGGCCGATTGGCCCAACGCTTGCCCCTGGCCCCTCTTGGTCACCTCCGAGAAAGGGCCTCGCGGCGAAGGAGTAGGAAGGTCAGGAGGGAGGTGGTAGCCTACCAGCAGGACGTCTCAGTGCAGGGGCAAGGCTTGGGCCCAGGGTCCACCCTGCAGCCGGGTGGGTGCGCCCAAGTGTGGGTCATCCCTGGCTAAGGTGGCCAGATTTAGCGAGTAAGAATACATAACACCTAGTTAAATCTGAATTTCACGCACAAATAATTTTTTAGTATGAGTATGTCCCATGCAATTTTCAGACATGCTTACATTTTTAAAAATCATTACTTATTTGAAATTTAAAATTTACGGGGCTTCCCGTACTTTACCTGGCAACCCTCCCTGCCCCACGCTGGCTCTGTGTTGCTCTGGCCCCTCCCTCCGTGTGCCATCGGCCTTCTTCCATCTCTGCCACAGGACCTTTGCCCACGCCACTCCCTCTGCCAGAGCCACCCTTCCCTTTTGCCCTGGATGCCTCACTCGGCCCACAGCCCAGGCTCAGTATCCCTTGCGGGGTTGGGAGGCGATGGACAGTGGCCTCATCCCAGGTACCAGCAGACTGTCACTTGTTAACGGCTCTCTGCATGGCTTTACCCGGACTTGTATTTTGGATTGAGATCAAGACCTTGTCTGCCCCCGTCCAGCCCTGGTTGGGCACAGCACTGCCCTGGGGGGGCGCCCTGCCGACCGCAACACAGAACTGGCCTTTTGAGCCTCCGTTTCCTCGTTTGTCAAGGGGGGTGGTGCCCACGTGAGAACCCTAGTTTCTGGTGATGGTGGCACCCTGACTGCTTTCCTTAGGTGGGGGGACCCAGAGAGTCCAAGGGGGGACGGCAGGAGGGGCCCGGGAGAGCCCAGCAGGAACGGGGGACCTGCCCCCACCCCAGGGAGACTGGGGCACCCAGGCCCCCCCTCCTTGGGAGCCAGGTAGGCGGCATTGTGCCTGGGCTTTCGGAGATGGTGGTGCCGGGTCAGAAACCCAGAGGCCAGAGACCCTGTCCTAAACTCCTTCCCAGATGAGGTTGGTCAGCTCACCCCACACGGCAGCCCGCCTGGGAGGACAGAGAAGGGACCCCCATCGGAGGGGTCAAGGCCCCTCCCCCAGATCCCACCACCCTGCAGCCCGGAGGGCGGCCACACTGGCCGTGCACAGAGGCGGGAAGCGGAGACCCTCAGGGCTCTGGACGCCAGGCTGGCACCGGGCCAGGCTGCCAGGTTGGGGGGGGGGGAGGCCGGGCGCAACCAGGAGGGGGGGGGGGGGCCCGCTGCCCCCGGCCCAGCCTCCCCGGCGGGGGGGGCCACTGGCTGGCCCCCGGCCCGGGTGCCAGATCAGGGGGGGACGGTTGGGAGGGGAGGACCCCGAGCAGCCCAGCCCTCGGGAGACGGGCCTCCACATCTCCACCTTCTGCCTTGCTCGTCTCCTCCCGGCCGGGATCTGCCCGTGGGCACTGCTCACTTCTCGTGTTTAACCAGCGCGGCTTCGTCTGGGAAACTGTCAGCGGCAGTCTGCAAACACCCCTTCCCGCTCTGCCGCACCGCCTGCCAAGCGCCACCAGCCGACAGCTTGGCTGGCAGTCGGCTCGCACAGGCTGCCCGGCCTGGAACCCGGCTTCTCGCTGGTGGCCGGGGAGGGCTGTCCGCCGCTGTGCGCTGGGTCTTGCGACCTCACGACTGGGCTGCGGCCCCCCCCCCCCCCCGCCGCGTCCCCCGGCCTCCATCCAGAGCAGCGTCCGCGGCCCCGAGGCCCCACAGGCCCGGGAGGATCGGCACCCCAAGGCTTGGAGATGCCATGGGAGGAATTACCGAACTCTGGGGAGACAGGAGGTGTGGGAAAAGAGGAGAAGCCCTAGGAGGGAGCACGTGTCACCGAGGCTTGGGGGACAGGCCATCTCTTGAGGTCAGCCTGTGCCAACCCCCGAGTCCCCCTCTTTCCTGCGACACGGCTGCCAACACCCGCCCTGCTGGGGTGACTGAGGCCCAGGACCTTCTCAGCAGAGCTGGGCCCTCCAGGAAGGAAGTAACACCTCAGGACGGACCCCTGCGTGCCCGAGGGGCCGGCCGGTCTCACCCCAGTCAGACCCTGGGGCGTGCTGGCTGGGCAGCCTCTGGGGGGCCCGGAGCCCAAGCAACACCGCTCCCCTGCAGCGCAGGCTCCCCAGGCTGGAGGGAGAGGTTTGGGGCTCCCTGGGAGCGGCCCTCGCCCTGGTGCCTGGAACCCCCCCGCCTCTGACTGCCCCCAGGCCCCCAGGAGCGCCCGCGGTAAGTGTCCAGGCTCAGCCTTTA